GGAAACCATGGCCAAGATCATCCACATGACTGTATTCCCAAAAACAATGCATAGTATGAAAGCTGGACAGTGAAGAAAGCCGACAGGATGAAATATGATAATGGTGCTAGAAGAGAGCTTTGTGCATACCTTGGACTGACAGGAAGACGAACAAGTGGGCCCTAAATCAAATCAAGCTGGAACTTTCCCTGGAAGCAAAAATGACAAACTGAAGCTATCACTCTTTAGGTGCATTTTGAGAGGGCAAGAATCACTGGAGAATATAATAATGTTAGGGAAAGCTGAAGGCTGCAGAAAAGAAGGAAAACCATCTGTGAGATGAATTGATTCCAGAAAGGAAGCCACACTCTTGAATTTGCAAGAGCTGTGCAGGGCTGTCAAGGAGAAGAGACTTTGGAGGCATTGATTCATAGGGTCACCATAAGTCACAGGCAACATGACACTTTCAAAGCCTTTCTTATCGTGGAGGATGGGAGTAGTCTTCATAAGAAAATTCAGCATTTAATGGAAATATGTTATCATACATATTTCAAGATTGAGAATAACAAAAACAATTTGCTTCCATAAGTTACTTCAGCAATTGGAGTACTGCTTTTAAATTACTTTTGCATTCAGAAATATCGAGTACCAGAGAGGGCTGTGTCTACCATGCTTTAAAGAAAAATGGAAAGTTATGCAACATGGCGCTCCAAAGGAAAGTTGAATTCTTAAGGCTTACGTATTTTCTGCTTACATGTTTTATATATTTTTGATGGCCATGGAGATAAGGTTTATGCACAATTCTGAAGCCTGGGAAATCCAGCCCAGCCCTTTCTCCAACTTCTGTTGCTTCTGTTGTGATGACATTATTCATGATGATATTCCATGCTTCAAGGACTGACAAAACCATTTCCAACAAGACCCAGTATCTAGGGTCCGGTTGGCCACCTGCCATGGGACCCCATCCCACTAAGGCTCCATTGACAAGAGCTACCTGGAGCTGCTTTTCTTCCTCACCATTGCATCCTGCTCATTCACCTGCCTCTTGCACTGGCCTAGGCATCAGTGGTGGTGAAGAGGATACAGTGGTGGCAGATAGGATGCTGTGGCCAAGCAAGCAGTAGCAGTGGTAAGAAAATAAGGAGCAATGATACCTGGTGGCAAGAATGGAGACTGGCTGAAGGAGGGGGCCTGATGAGGATGTTCCAACATGAAATGTGAAGTGGGGGGACCAGGAATAATAGAATTGTAAATAGTACGAAGATGAAAAGAAAGCAAAGGGGTGCTACAGGAATAAAGCTGGATGTAATTTATCCAGGAAGAAGAGAAAATCAGTGAAAAGAAAAGAAAAAGAAAAGCCAAATGAAGTAAATCTCTTCCCCCCCACTATACATTTCTGTCATCCACTCCCTAAGGATACGTTCTGTCTGGTTGCATCTACATTGCTGAGCAGCTGCAAGAACCAGCAGAGCAAAGGAAGGTAATCACATTGGAAATAGCACTGTGTGCACACTGCAGGTGTGTGCATTTTAGCAGTTGGACAAAGACAGTCAATCCCTGAAGTGAAAAAGATTTTAGCATTTATATATGCCGGAAACAATCAGGGCATGAACTGTACGCTCCAAGTCTGTATGCATATTTATTGGCAGGTCTCCTGAGGAGTCCTGCTGTTATCCTGATATGTATTATTTTAATACATACACACATGCATGAACAAAAGCATAGAACAATTCTAACAAACCTCAGAAAAGCACAGAAAAGCACTCTTTATTTACCTGAGGACTGTTGAGCATTGGCATGTCACAGAACTAAAATAGCCTCTTCAGGACATTAGCTTAACAAGTGCCATATGAAAAGATGTCTGTTCTCAAAGACCACAAGCAAGATTTGAGAATGATATTCCCCTCCATTGCCCTGCAGCAAATGGTACTGTGTGTCCTATTGCCTCTACACTTTCAGGTTTTATTTAGCTGTCATGGCTAATATCTGTTAAAGGATTCATTCTCCATTAATTTGTTCAGTGCCTTTTTAAAGCCTTCTAAGCTAGTTGACAGCAAATTCCATGAACTAATTGCACATTGTATGAAGATGTACTTCCTTTTGTCTGTCCTGAACATAATGCCAATCAATTGCACAGGGTAAGTCCCTGGCTGGCTTCCTGGTGCTGATGTATTTATAGCAATGTTTGTTCTTTGCATTTTAGCAATGTTTTCCACAGTGATTGTCAGATTTTTACTTGCTGTAATAGAAACATATTTTTGTGCTCATTTAGGTAATATTTCCCCTTTCAAAACTGAAACAGCAGCAGGCAACTTACAGCCATCCAAGAAGGGAGCCTTCTTGCTTTTTATTTCTTCCTTGACCCTCCTTACTAGTCAGTGCTGATATTCGATCAGCCTTGGTTTCTATCTTTTCTAACCTGTAGTATACATTCTAGCTAAACCTTTATTGTGGTTTTAAACACCATTGAAGATTTTGTCCTCTTGACTCTCCTTCAACAAACCCTCACTTTTTCGGAAATTTAATTTGAAATCAAATATAATCTCACTGTGTTCACTTTCTCCACTGGGTCGATGGCATTTGCATGTTACACTAAGCCCTGGACACCATGGCCCCTTCCCTCTGTTGCACCGGAAGCCATGGGCACCCTTCTTTGAGCCTAGCATGGTGCCTCTCCCCACCTATGTTGTTTCTCATAACAGAGTCTTCTTACTAGGAGCTCTCATAGCTTCAAAGCAAACTGAGAATGGACAGGTGCTATCACCCTAATTTGCCATGGAAGTCTCTGGGTCACCATTCAGCTGAGAATTTCTTATAAAATGAAGATAGTAGAGAGCTTCGGGGTAGTGATTTCCTCTGTAGCATCTTCTCGATGGTTCTGGGCAGCACTGAAAGTTGCGGGGTGGGGTAACAAGAAGAGGGCACTTTGAACTGTGAGGCCCAGGAAGCTGACTGTGCTCAGATCTGGCCCCTGCTTTACATTCAGCCCTTCAGCCATGCGACTTGCCCTTAGTGACTAGCCATGCCTTCCATGACGACCTTGTGACAATGGCCAGGGCAGTCTATCAAATTGCCAAAAGCTCCCACGGGACCCTGAAAGTTGCCTACCCCTTCCTTGTTCCACAAAATCCTCCTCCAATGCCCAGCTATTTATTCCAGGTAGAGTGCTTTATCTCTGTAGTGCAGCCCCAATATATATTTATCCAGTCAATCACTGAAGCCACCCATTTTACTTACGTTTTTTTATTTTATATTTTAAGTGTTTCTACCTGTTCCTCCTCATAGAATTTAGGTGGCTTATAAAACCCTAAAATAGAACAGCAGGATAGAAAAGAACATTTACAGCATTTGGAGTTGGGGTAGCTCTGTGTTCTGTATGGCCAGTTTCTCCACCATGGTGAGATTTACTGTATTTCTGTTTCAATTATAGTAATTATTTATAAGCTAGCATATACAAATCTGTGAATAAGTTGCCACCTTCCTTGTAGTTTTGATATTAGACTCAAAACTTACCTAATTGGGTTTATTTGCTCTTTCAGTGAGAAATGGCAAGAATATTAAAGATGCCTTATGTGGCATATGACCTATAAGAAGAATATGGGGTACTAGGCTGTGGATGCTAGAGATTGTAGTTGCATGACCTGGATGCATATCTGCCTATTAACAACTGAAACGTTCCTTTGAAGGCAAAGTCAATTAATTATGGCATTAGATGTATCATTTTGAGTTGCCATGTTCTGATAATCTCCACTGAGATGTTATTTCTCCAGCCAAAGCTTGCAAAGTATAACTGCATATAAGCAGAAATAAAGGAGGCCTGATTTTGCCTACATAATGCCTGCATAATTTGTCATTCCTTTTGATATACAGCCCACATCCCATATTTTACATCAAAATGCAATTGTTTTGAAGATGCCCTTCTCTTAAAGGGAGCTTATGTTTTGTGAGGAATCATAGCTTTCCCATTTAGCCACCCCCAGCTGCTGAGAATTCAGGTTGCTTATTAGTTTTAGGTTAAAGTTTAGCTGGGAAAAGCAAAGGAGAAAAGAGCTGGTTTGAAGCTGCAGACAGTAACCATCTGCTAGTGTTTTTAGAATGACTCATCCTTCTCAGGTAAAGGCCAGGAAAGGTGGCTTGATTAGAATACAGACAGCCTGAGAGGAAACTGTGCGATGAGCTCATTTTTTGTTTTTGATAGTTTTCTTCAGAATTCAAAGATAATGCCTCTCAAGCTTTCAAAGCATGCTTTCACATACCGCAAGATTGATTCCAAATGTTCTTGGTAATGTTTCTTAGAACAGTTTTATGAAATATAAGTGCTAAACTAGAGACAAGTTCTGACTATTAGTGGTATGGTGGTCCCCTTTTCAGCATTCAGTTCCTTTGCTGAAGAAACTGTACTGGCTGCTACTCAGTAGTGGACTAAGATTTTGGTACTAGCATATCCTGAGGTCATCAGGATGCTCCTAGTGGTTCTTCATGGACCTGTAGCCCCACTGAAGTTCACCTGGAGAACAGCTTTCAAAGTGATGCTTCCTCTTTTGTAGAACACCTGACCTCTGGAGGTCAGACAGACACCCACACTTTGTCTCCAGTGCCTCCTGAAAACACTGTCATTTCAGAAAGCCTTCCTGATCTATCCAGCCATGGTTTTATTGATGTTTTTACTGATCTTGTTAGTACATTGTTTTTCTTTCATCTTTTATTGCTCACTGCTCCAGAAACTTCGTACTGGAATATGGAGCAGCATATTTATTTTATTTATCTATTAAAACATTTATATGCCATCCTTTGCCGCAGCCTCAGGATGGCTTACATATGAATTTTGTAAGTGATTAAATGAGCCCCAACCAAAAATTGGATGAAGTGAATTATTCCTGAGGGAAGCAGAGTCTTTGCTGGATAAAAAAAGATATGATTTCAGTGGAGCCAAGTTAACCTTTCATGTTTGGATTCCAACACTAAAGCCCAGTACTCATTCATGTAACCAGACTCCATCATTTGCCTTCCTTCTTTTTCAGATCCTACATTGCTGTACAGGATACAATGAACAAGATGAAAACTTTCAAGCGGCGTTTTTCCCTTTCGGTTCCCCGGACAGAGACTATTGAAGAATCACTGGCAGAATTCACAGAGCAGTTCAACCAGCTGAACAACAGGAGGAATGAAGGTAAAACAACAGGAGGGGTTAGTCAGCTGGACTGAACTGGGCAGGGTGCAGGCAGGTGAGGCAACACAATCCATTCCAAAAAGCTGCAATCCTCTGAAATTATGATAAATCCTCATAATGGTGCACAATACCTGTTTGGTCGCCATTATAGCTTATGAAGTGATTGGAATGTGCTGCCCAAGGGAGCAGGATGCTTCATTGCATTTTGGCGCTAATTAGGGCCTTGAAGGTAGGTTATAAAACAGACTACCACAATGCCAATTCAAACAATAGCACAGTTAAAGCAGTATCCGTGACCAAGAAGAGGTTTAAAACCTTTGATCTCTATTTAGGAAAAAAATAGAAAACACCAGTTAGAATAAAATATTTTACCAGCCACCTAGAAGTCATGCGTAATCCCTTTGGAGGAATAGAAAGGAGCAGAAGAATGCATATTTTCTTCAAGGATACCTCCATGAACCCAATGGGAAACCAGGCCTACAGAATTCGGTATCTGTTCCAGACCTTTCTTCTCTATCCCTGCTGTTTTGACTGGCCAGGGGCCAACAAGTTCTGAAGTAGTGCTGTTTTCTGTAGTGTGTATTTGTAATGCACTGAAATACCACCTTATTAAAAAAAATAAGAGCAGTGTGGGTATATTTCCCAATTAGAAGACCAGGTTAAACCTCCAGGAGAACTGACAGTTTCTCAGGTCTGTCACAAAGAGATGTGTCAAAGGGCTAAAATAAATATGCATGGGAGAGGAAGCTCTAGCGCTGACCCACATGTGGTCATTAGAACAGGTGTAGAACACCGTTAGAGTCGCATGCAATGAGGGCTCTATCCATAGGACTGGTTTCTCAATTGCACATAGAAAACAGTCACAGTGACCCTTTACATGTTTTTTAAGAAACACATGAAAATTGGGGAAAAAGCCTATGTCCCCTCATATCTTACCTGAAAGGGCACATCTCTCCCCTTTTTGACATATTAAAAAAAACCTATGTTGCTAAATTGGTGATACTACTTGACTGCAGAGAAATTCAGTTTCTGAACATCATTAATAACTATATTTATATCTTGAAAGCAAGTGATTTACGTAGGTGTCCCCTCTATTTTATCATCACAATAATTCTTATGCGTTAAGTAAAACTGAGAATAAGTGACTGGCCCAAAATCATCTGGTAAACTTCATGGTTAAGTAGGGACTAAAGCCTGCCTCTTCCAAGTCCTAGTCCAATATTCTAACTATTCTATCAAACTTGCAATCCTTCCTGAAGTGAGAATATAATAAAGGTATTTGCAGCGTAAGTGTCTGGGGCCAGGGTATGGGCAGCAGGGATCAAGAGAGCACTCCAGGACCCAAGGCAGGGTGGGGTTTAAACCCTGTTCAAAGCCTGATAGCTGGGTCAGAGGTAAAGTCTTAATCAAGACGCACACAAAAGTCAGTAACCAGGAGTAAACAATTGTTGTTGTTGTTGTTAGTCTTGAAGTCGTGTCCGACCCATCGTGACCCCATGGACAACATTCCTCCAGGCCTTCCTGTCCTCCACCATCCCCCAGAGTCCACTTAAGCTCACACCAACTGCTTCAGTGACTCCATCCAGCCACCTCATTCTCTGCTGTCCCCTTCTTCTTTTGCCATCTATTGTGCCCAGCATTAGGCTCTTCTCCAGGGAGTCCTTCCTTCTCATTAGGTGGCCAAAGTATTTGAGTTTCATCTTCAGGATCTGGCCTTCTAAAGAGCAGCCAGGGTTGATCTCCTCAAGGACTAGCCAGTTTGATCGCCTTGTGGTCCAGGGAACTCGCAGGAGTCTCCTCCAGCACCGCAACTCAAAGGCCTCAATCCTTCGGCGCTCAGCCTTCGTTATGGTCCAGCTTTCACAGCCATACATTGCAACTGGGAAAACCATAGCCTTGACTATACGCACTTTTGTTGGCAGGGTGATGTCTCTGCTTTTTAGTATGCTGTCTAGATTTGCCATAGCTTTCCTCCCCGGGAGCAAGCGTCTTTTAATTTCTGGGCTGCAGTCCCCATCTGCGGTGATCTTGGAGCCCAGGAAAATAAAATCTGTCACTACCTCCATTTCTTCCCCATCTATTTGCCAGGAAGTGAGAGGACCAGATGCCATGATCTTAGTTTTCTTAATGTTGAGTTTCAGGCCAACTCTTGTACTCTCCTCCTTCACCCACATCAAGAGGCTCTTTAGTTCTTCTTCACTTTCTGCCATTAAAGTGGTATCATCTGCATATCTGAGGTTGTTGATATTTCTCCCAGCAATCTTAATTCCAACTGGTGATTCATCTAGCCCCGCCTTTCTCATGATGTGCTCTGCATATAAGTTAAATAGGCAGTGAGACAGTATACAGCCTTGCCGAACTCCTTTCTCAATTTTGAACCAATCGGTGGTTCTGTGTCCAATTCTCAGTGTTGCTTCTTGACTTGCATATAGGTTTCGCAAGAGACAAATAAGATGTTCAGGTACTCCCATCTCTTTAAGAACTTGCCACAATTTGTTGTGATCCACACAATCAAAGGCTTTAGCGTAGTCAATGAAGTAGAAGTAGATGTTTTTCTGGAACTCCCTAGCTTTCTCCATGATCCAGCGTATGTTGGCAATTTGATCTCTAGTTCCCCTCCCTCTTGAAAATCCTGCCTGTACTTCTGGTAGTTCTCGGTCCACTTACTGCTGGAGCCTAGCTTGTAGGATTTTGAGCATCACTTTGCTAGCATGTGAAATGAGTGCAATGGTACGATAGTTTGAACATTCTTTGGCATTGCCCTTCTTTGGGATCGGAATGTAAACTGACATTTTCCAATCCTGCGGCCACTGTTGAGTTTTCCAAATTTGCTGGCATATTGAGTGTAGCACTTTTACTGCATCGTCTTTTAAGATTTTGAATAGCTCAGCTGGAATACTGTCACCTCCACTAGCTGTGTTGTTGCTCAGACTTCCTAAGGCCCATTTGACTGCACATTCCAGGATGTCTGGCTCGAGGTCAGTGACCACCCCATCGTGGTTATCAGGGACATTAAGCTCTTTCTTGTATAGTTCTTCTGTGTAATCTTGCCACCTCTTCTTAATCTCTTCTGCCTCTGTTAGGTCCCTGCCATTTCAGTCCTTTATCATGCCCATCTTTGCATGAAACGTTCCCTTCATATCTCCAATTTTCTTGAAGAGATCTCTGGTCCTCCCTATTCTATTGTTTTCTTCTATTTCTTTGCACTGTTCATTTAAGAAGGCATTCTTATCTATTCTAGCTATTCTTTGGAATTCTGCATTCAATTGGGTGTATCTTTCTCTTTCTCCCTTGCCTTTTGCTTCCCTTCTTTCCTCAGCTATTTGTAAAGCTTCCTCAGACAGCCATTTGCTTTCTTGCATTTCTTTTTCTTTGGGATAGCTTTAGTTGCTACCTCTTGTACAATCTTGCAAACCTCCGTCCATAGGTCTTCAGGCACTCTGTCTATCAGATCTAATTCCTTAAATCTATTTGTCACCTCTACTGTATATTCATCAGCAATATGATTTAGGTCATACCTGAGTGGCCTAGTGCTTTTCCCTACTTTCTTCAATTTAAGCCTAAATTTTGCAACGAGAAGCTCATGATCTGAGCCACAGTCAGCTCCTGGTCTAGTTTTTACTGACTATATAGAGCTTCTCCATCTTTGGCTGCAGAGCACATAGTCAATCAGATTTCTGTGTTGACTGTCTGGTGATGTCCATGTGTAGAGTCATCTCTTGGGTTGTTGGAAAAGAGTGTTTGCTGTGACCATCGTATTCTCTTGACAAAATTCTACCAGCCTGTGCCCTGCTTCATTTTGTACTCCAAGGCCAAACTTGCCTGTTATTCCGGTTATCTTTTGGCTTCCTACTTTAGCCTTCCAATCCCCCATGATGATAAGGACATCATTTTTTGGTGTTAATTCTGGAAGGTATTGTAGGCCTTCATAGAACTGGTCAACTTCAGCCTCTTCAGCACCAGTGGTTGGGGCATAGACTTGGACTATTGTGATGTTGAATGGTTTGCCTTGGATTCGAACTGAGATCATTCTGTCATTTTGGAGATTGTATCCCAGTACTGCTTTTTCTACTCTTTTATTGACTATGAAGGCTACTCCATTTCTTCTGAGGGATTCTTGCCCGCAGTAGTATACCTGATGGTCATCCGAATTAAATTCACCAATTCCTGTCCATTTTAGTTCACTGATTCCTAAGATGTCGGTGTTCAGTCTTGTCATCTCTTGTTTGACCACATCCAGCTTGCCTTGATTCATGGATCTTACATTCCAGGTTCCTATGGAGTATAGATCTTTGCAGCATCGGACTTTCCTTTCACCACCAGATACATCCGCAACTGAGTGTCCTTTCGGCTTTGACCCAGTTGTTTCAGTCTTTCTGGCGCTACTAGTACTAGCCCTCTGCTCTTCCCCAGTAGCGTATTGGACACCTTCTGACCTGAGGGGCTCATCTTCCGGCGTCCTATCTTTTTGCCTTTTGGTACTGTCCATGGGGTTTTCATGGCAAAGATACTGGAGTGGGTTGCCATTTCCTTCTCCAGTGGATCACGTTTTGTCAGAGCTCCCTGCTAGGACCTGTCCGTCTTGGGTGGCCCTGCACAGCATAGCTCATAGCTTCATTGAGCTACGCAAGCCCCTTCGCCACGACAAGGCAGTGATCCATGAAGGAGGGAGTAAACAATAGAGCAAGCCAAAAAGCATGGTAATGGCCAAGCTAGAGATTCAAAACAAGGAAGACAAAACAGAACAGGGAACACAATCATAATCAGGGCAAGCCAGCAACAGGTGTCTGCAGCAGAGTAATCTGACAGCATTCAGGAGCAGCAGAAGGTGTGGCAAGCAAGGCAAAGTGGCAAGGTAGGACAAGATCACACAAAGCAGGAACTAGATCAGACAAGATGCAAGCACCGGAACACAGTACAGCAAGCAAGAAGATCTGTGTTACTGATGTTATAAAACAAGGCAAACCACAACTAATAAAAAGATCAGCATTGCTAAGGTA